ACCAATAGAATTCAACAACATATTAAAAAATAGCCCATCTTGGCCAGTGGGATTCTTACTAGTTATGCAAGGATGGTTCAACATTAGAAAATCAATCAACGTATTCCACCACATAAATAAAAGAACTACACAATCATCTCAATTGATGCCCTTGACTTTGATAAAATCCAATATCCGTTCCTGTTTTTTAAAAATTTCTCTGCAAACTGAAAATAGAAGAGAAATTCCTCTTCAGAGTAAAGAGCATTTATGCAAACACAGCATTATTCTCAATGGAGAGAGACGGTTCCTTTTGAGAACAGGGACTACACAAGGATGTCATATATCACTAGTTTTCTCAACATTGTAACAAAGTCCTAGTTAGAGCAATAAGGCAAGAAAAGGAAATAAAAGGCATTCAAATAGTCAAGGAAGACGTTAAACTAAGCCTGTTCACAGATGATAGGATCTTATACACAGAAAATCCCGAAGATCCCACAAGGAAGCTCCTTGACCCCAAAGAAGGACTCAACGAAGTACCAGCATACAAGATTGACATACACAAATCAGTGGGATTCCTCTACAGCACCAACAAAACAAACTTTGAAAGGAAATCAGGAAAATAATACCATTCACAATAGCCCCCCAAATATAAAATACTTAGAAAATAGATCTAACAAAGGACATACAAGACCTATACAGAGAAAACTACAAAACAATACTTCAAAAAAAATGGACACCTACATAAATGGAAAAACATACCATGCTTATAGATAGGAAAACTGGACGTTGTAAAAATGTCCATCATACTCAGAGCTGAAAATGAGGAGGACTTGAAGCACTTGCTGATGAAGATTGTAGCCTTTGGTATGGTTTACAACTCAATGTAAGGAAGACCAAAAGTTCTCACAACTGGATCATTAAGTAACCTCATGATAAATGGAGAAAAGGTTGAATTTGTCAAGAATTTTGTCTTACTTTGCTTCACAATCCATGCTCGTGGAAGCAGCAGTCAAGAGATCAAAAGATGTAGTGCATTAGGTAAATCTGCTGCACAAGACTGCTAGAGTATTGAAGAGCAAGTTGCTCTGAGGACTAAAGTGTGCCTGACCCTCTACTGGATCATTTGCAGGTGAAACTTGGACACTGAATCAGGAAGACTGTAAAAGAATTGATGCATTGGACTGTGGAGCTGGAGAAAAATATTGAAAGTACCATGGGCTGCTAAAAGGACAAACTGACCTGTCTTGGAAGTAGTAAGACCAGAGCGCTCCTTAAAGGCAAGGATGGCAAGACTTTGTCTTACATACTGAGGTAGTTGATTGTGCCAACCTGGCCGATAAACACATGTAGGGTTAATTGAAGGGCGGAGGGATAAATGGCTCAGTGAGTTCTTTAGAGTTCTCAGGTCTCTTGCTTTGTGATCGTCGGACCAGGGTGCAGCTGCCTTAGCCAGTTCCCTGCTTCAGCTGGCAAGGCTCACTTCCTGAAAGACATCCCTGAGGAGAAGCCACATGGACCTACCCCGATGCAGCCCTGGGTGCTGGAGCAGCCATGTGAAGACCCCTGCCAGCGCTGAGGTGCTTACACATTCACTGACTCGGCTTTCCTCCTGCATCATTGGGTCTGTTTTGTGAGATGGAGGAGGACTTTGTGGATTGGGGTTGGTCATATGGGTTAATGTTGGACTTGTGGGCTTGGGCGGCACTGGGTTGGGATGTTTTCTTGCTGTGCACTTACCCTTTATATAAAACTCTCTCTTATACATGTGAGTTTCTGTGGATTTGTTTCTCTAATGTACCCAGACTAACACATATACTTTAGACATAGTGTCAGGAGAGACCAGTCCCTGGGGAAGGACTTCATGTTGGTGAAGAAGAGGAAGGCTCCCGATGAGCTGGGTGGACACTGCCCTGATGGAACCATTGTGAGGACGGCGCAGGACCGTGACTGCACATGACTGTGCTTCATTGTGTGGTGCAAAGGATCGCTGTGCGTTGGAGACAACTCCATGGCACCTGACAACAAAACCCAAAGCGATCAATAACTGTAATGCGATCTGGATCCAAATGACAACAACACTTTTTTAAAAATGGGAAAACGATTTACCAACTTTCTATGGGGAGGAAAGAAGCCCAGTATAAATTAAGTATTATTACAGAGGAATCAAACAGTAAGAGGCTTCACACTGCCTGGTCCCTGAACCTACTCTACAGCTGTGGTAGTAGTTGAAACAATATGGCACGGGTACAATGACAGGCGCATAGAGTAACGGAATAAAATTGAGAATCCAGATGTAAATCCATCCACTTATGAGCAGCAGACCTTTGAGAAAAGGTCTAGGTGGGGAAGAGGCAACCTCTTTAACAAATGGTGCTGGCAAAACTGAAAGTCTAGCTGGAGCAAAATATAACAGGACCCTACCTCACACCACACACACACAAGCTAACTGAAATGAATCAAAGACCTAACCCTAAAACCTAAATCTATAAAGACCAGGAAAGAAAAGTAGGCACCATGGTATTGTGGCTATTGGGTGCTGTGCACACTGGTCCAACTCAGCAACCCTGTGTTCAACAGGACAAAACCTTCCTCACACCATTGCTGTTTGAGCCCACGTTGTCGTCACAGTGTTCATCCTCTTTTTCACTGACTCCGTTCTTTACCAAGCACGATGTCCTTTTCCAAGGACTGACTCCATCTAACATGTCCAAAGTATAAGCAATACAGTGAACTATTCAATATGGCTCCCCTAGCTATTGTTTCTGTAACTCTCACCAAATGACTGCTCGGGACCATGCAGACTGGATGTGGGTCCTCTTTTCCTGACAGGCCTGTGTAAGAGAAGGTGGGGAAAGATGCTGATAGGAGGACATGTCTCAGTAATGGTTAACAAGGTTCATTGTGATTGTAAAAACTTGGAACTCTAGCATGGAGATTGGCCAATTTTGCCATCCTTCTGGGAATAAAATGAGCCGTTTCAGAAGCAGGAAAGGAATCTGACTACTATCCAAAAAGAAAGCCCAGGAGTGGAGCAGATCCTTTGGACCCTGAGATCCCGGCACACTGAACTTTATTGATCCAGGGTCAGGAAGCTGTGGCACCAGAGAAATGGCTGAGGGGTGACAAAGGACGGGCAGCAGCAGAGCCAAGAGCATGCAATTGACTGTGGAACAAGTCACTCGGGTGTCTTCGGGTAAGAGGGTTGCTTTTGCTGTGGGCGCCCCCAGGGATGGAATTAGGTAGCCATATTTCCTCACATGGAGCCAGAGCTGAGTGTCTTCTGGGAGACACATGGCTGAGTAATGTGACCTCTGGGTATTTATTGGCAACTAAAAGAGCGCTGACACATTGCTCAAGCAGAGCAGGGGCCAAGGGGCTGCGTGACTGAGAGGTTAAGAACCAGAGAGAGGCCTGCTTCCACCCATGACTAGGAAGAGGCTGTCCTGGCAGAAGAACTGTATCTTGAGCGTTTCTGATCCTGAATTGTGGTGCTCTCAGGTAAGCATTGGGCTAACTGCAAGGTCAGCAATTCAAACCCACTGACCGCTCCACAAGAGAAAGTTGAGGCCCTTTGTTTCCAGAAATATTTACAGCCTTGGAAACATTCCGTGGGTTTGCTATGAATTGGACTTGATACAATGGCAGTGGGTTTGGGTTTCTGGAACTTGGCTCCAAAAGCCCATAATCCTGAGTATAGTTGTGGTTTCTGCGTGGTCATCGCAATGAATTCAAGAATTCTCAGCTGAGTAGCGAGTGCCGTGGGAGGATGGTTGGTGGTATAATTGATGGAGAAAGTTGGAGGGTGGAGGCATGTCTGACCCCTGCCTCATAGGAATCAGCCAAGAGCTGATACGAGGTCGATTCCCCTCCTTCCCTCGTGTGAAGACAGAGGAGTTCCCACAGATGCGGTCCCCACGCCCACTTTCACAGCCCATGAGATGTCATCTCCCCATCCTTGCTCCTGAAGAGCTGTACTTCTTCCAAGAGAGATCTGTTTGGTCTTCAGGCCGGCCATGGTACATTCAATGTCCTTCATCAACACCATAATTCACACGTGTCAGTTCTGCTACCGACTTCCTTACGGAACAAATAGAATATCAAACATAACTGAAACGGCACAAACAGCAGAAGATGAGCTAGAAAATGAAATACGTTGTGCTCATCAAAAGACTTCTCCAAAAGAGGGAGAAAGAGACTGAAGACTCAGGGTGTTGGGGGAACATTTGGCAGTGGCATATCTGACAAGGGTCTGATCTCTAAAGTGTAGAGAAAAGTGGACCACTCAACCACAGAGCACGCACGGCCAGTTAAAAACACGGGTAAAGGACAGGAACAGGCACTTCACCGGACACTTCAAAGAGAGACTTTGCCAGACTGCTCAAACATACATGAAAAACGCGTTTGTGATCATTCGGCATGAACTCAAAGGGCCATCGAGTCGATTCTGACCACAGTGACCTCGTAAAGTAGAGACGAACTGCTCCTGTGGTTTCAGAGACTGTTACTCTTTATGGAAGCACACAGCCTCATCTTTCTGCTGTGGAGCAGCCGGTGGGTTTGAACAAGGAACCTTGTGGCCTGCAGCCCAATGCTTAGCCCACTGTGCCACCGGGGACACTTCGCTAGCCCTTAGAGAGATGAAAATCAATGCTACAATTTGCTACCATCTCACCCCAACAATAGCGGCACCCGTAAACACAAAGCAGAAAAATCACAAATGTCGTCAAGCTTGGTGGAGACTGGAACACTGGGGGGCGTGTAAAATGGTGCCATCGCTCTAGACGCTGTGAGGCACTTCCTGAACATGCTAGAAATAGAAATGGCATCTGACCCAGCGATTCCACTCCTACAGGCATCTGGAGCCCTAAAGAAGAGCCGGGACACAATAGACATATGGTGCTCATTGCAGCGTCTTTGGCAATAGCAAACAGATAGAAACCATCTGAATGCCAATCAAGAAAGGAATGGATAGAGTGTGGGTCAGTGCACTCGGCCATGGTCCAGGTGACTGTGGAGCAATGGAGGGCAGCTTCGGCTCGGATTTCCAGAACTCCGGGCGTGGGAAGCTGGACCCCAGTGTCATCGTGGAGCAGGTGAAAGTACCGATTGCTGTTGCCAGCGCACAGGAGTTGCTACATTGGATGACGGACAAGTGCTTCTGGAAGTGCGTAGGAAAACCTGGGGGCTCCCTGGGTAATTCTGAGCAGAAGTGCACCCCCACGTTCATGGGCCGCTCCATGGACGCCTGGAACACGGTATCCCGTGCCTACAACTTATGGTTGCAGCGCGAGCGGGCCAACATGCAACGAGGACCCTCCAGGAGCCCCTCCCACCAACCCCCTTGTCCTTAGCCATAAACATTCTGAGAAGTGACAGAGAGCAGGCGTGGCTCCGTAGAGCCTGGACTGCCCCTCACTCAGCACTGAACCTCACCCCGTCCACCTCCAGTGTAACTTGAGTCTGGGGACCCAGTGCCTTCCTAACGTGCTGGCAGCTCGGGGTCAGGCCGTGGAGACCCCCTTTGTGCTCCCGAAGGTCAACCTCATGCCCCAGGCCACCCTTGTTTGGACTTTGGTGGGAGGGTGGGAGTGGGCAGACCAGAGATGGCTTGAGCTCACCTGAGCCAGAACCACTTTAGGCTGTGAAATAAATTGCTGAGATGGTGAGAGGGGGACAAAAAATATGGATAACAGGCTGGGGAACATACACACAGTGGAACATGACCCAGTCAGAAAGAATCATGCCCAACCCAAGAATCGTCTCCCAACACAGATGACGCTGCAGCACCTGATGCTGTGTGACGTGAGTCGCTCACAAAAGGACAGATATTGCATGAGACCATTATATTTTTTTAAAGCAAGAAAAGTTTACACACAGAGGCAGGAAACATTGGATGGTTACTAAGGTCACCAGGGAGGGGAAAGGACCTATTAGCTAGAAGACACATGTTAATAATGGTGAAGAAAAACAAACACACGATATTGGGAGAAGTCAGCCAAGAACAAGAACTCAGGCCCATCCTGTGTAAGGAGCATCTTCAAGAACTGAACAGTAAGTTCACACTACATATAACAACGTGGAAGGATCCCCCCCGAATTTATTGGGGAGGAAGCAATTTCTAGAACAAGATCTATCTTGGTTCTTGGATATCTTATTCTTGAAACTTGTATATCTCATTGTTGTCAGACTCCCAACTCTTGGCAGTCAGCCCTACGCACAGCAGAAGAAAGTGCTGCCTGGCCTTACGCCATCCCCATGATCGATCAAAGATGGGACCATTGTGGCCCATAAAAGTTTCCTTGGCTGACAAAGCCCACATGGAACAACATATCAACCTGTGTGATCACGGGGTGTCGAAACGGATCACTGAAGACAAATGGGTGCATAAGCAAATGTGGCGAAGAAAGCTGATGGTGTCCGGCTATCAAAAAGTATAGCGTCTGGGGTCTTAAAGGGTTGAAGGTAATCAAGCGGCCATCAAGCTCAGAAGCAACAAAGCCCACATGGAAGAAGC